AGTACCCCCCCCCCCCCACCCCACCCCACCCCCCTGATCGGATGCTCTCATGCGAGATGTGCCAGTCCTGCCGCTCATGCCAGGGGATTCGAGCACGGCGCCGTCGGAGCGGGACGCGGGCGAGCGTGCTGGCGAGTGCAGGGACGGCAGCGCCGCGGACCGCAATTAATTATAATTTACGTTGTGTCAATGGGAACGTAATTAATCACAGGCTGACTGAGGCGCCCCCCCCCCCTTTCGCTCCCGCGTACAGAAACACACGTAATTACACAAAACCGAGGAAAAGTCACCGTTCTCTGATGGTGTGCTGCAAAGCAGTCATGTTAACCGCGGCGTAGCGATGCATCTCTACGATGGCGCAAAAACCCCACCGCTCTTATAAAGCCAAAGCAATATAATGCGAGATGTGATGTCTGTGCTCTGGGTGAATGGCTGCTGCAGTGATCACCTGTCCTTTTTTGCATGTTTTTTTTTTTAACTTTTTTTGATGCCTTTATCTAAAGCGTTGTTGAGAGAGCAGGGCCCCAGCCCGTCCCTGGAGTGACGGGGGGTTAATGGCCTCGCTCAAGGGCCCGAATGCTGTACTGGTACTGGTCAGACAGGAAGGTGCATCACTGGGCCTACGCTGAGGCCGCGGTGAGAACGACAAGGTCCATGCGGGAGGAAGGGGGGCGGAGCCCAAGATGGCGAATCCGGTGTCAGCTCTGGCACCTGGACCGCCTCAGCGGCAGCTGGGCCCGGCCCGCGGGGCGTTCTGTTTGTTGGACACGGCAGAGCCCGCAGATGTCGTGGGGGGTGGGGGGGGGCTGATGGATTAGCCGCAGAGGCGTGCAGCCTGCTGCCCGGACCCCCAGAGGCCCTACCGCCTCCGGGTCCTCGCTGCCGCGGCTGAGCAGGGGCCCCTTCCTCCTCTCAACAGAGCGACAAACACCCCCCCCCCTCCGTTACCAACAGACTAACCTAAAAAACAATTCATCAGCGTTCGTGTTTCTGAGCCGTTTCTGCATCGCCGAAACACCGCGGTGCTGTCCGTTCCCAGCTCGTCGCCGTCCGTCTCCCTCCTCTCCCTTTAAGCGTGGGTTGCCATGGCAAGCGATTCGCTGCAGGACCTTTACCTCGGTGCTGGGGTCGCCCGGGTACACAGACCCATCTGTCAGGTGTGGATACTGCCATCGCTCCTGCCCCTCTGTGCCTCGGGCACCCTTCATCTGAATCAAAACACAGCCCACCCGACGCAAGCTCCTCGACAGCATCGTGCCCCCCCCTAAGCCAGGTCGGGGGGGGGGGGGGGGGGCAGGGAGGAAGCGCGCCAGGCGCTACGGATCTCTCGGCACAGGAATCCGATTCGCTAACGCCTCCCTCTGAACCTGGGAACAGTGCCGACTTCGCCATTACCAGGACTGACAGCAGAGGCGTCAGATGATCCGGGATCGGCCCGCATTCAGACGACATCGCATGGCAACCCCATTAAGGGGTGAATCACGCCTCGCATGACATTCAGAGGCTGGACGGCTCCTCCGAGCTCCGGCACGGAGGAGGGACACTCCGTGTTCGACATCACATTGCATGCTTCTGGCCTGTAGGGGGCCCTCTTTCTGCTGAATCGTTGGACCTGTGCTGTCCTCCCCCCGCCTCGTATTTATCCCGCAACCCTGGAGCGGGGAGGAACTTGCGGTCGCGTGGTGACGTTGCGTGTTTGTGACAGGGGCCTGTCCCCCCCACTCCCGTGTGACACCCTTGATGTGATAGTGTGTCTGGCTGCGTGATACATGTGTCGGCCCAGAGGGGCAGACCGCCTCTTCGTTCACATTCCCTTTTACCTCCTTTACGGGTCGAGGAGACGCCGTCTCCAAGGCTGTCCTCCATTTTGATCCTTCACTTCACCCTTCAAGGTTTAAAAGTCATTAACGATAAAGGTTTGTTTGAAGTCGACATTCCTTTGCCAGAGGTGCCCTGGTTCAGCCTGCCGACATCAGGCGAGAGGGTGACGGTTTTATAGTGATAGCGTAGATGCCGCTCTGCCCGTCCCCGGAGTCGTGGGTATCACGGAGATTGCAGGCGAATTCGGGTGTACGGTTTGTTACGGAAACGTTCAGCGGCAGTGTTTGTTTACATGTGAGGCACTTTCAGAGACGGTGGGAAGTGACCATGTCCGACGTCCCGCAAAATGCATCCATCACAGGAACGATACGCCTATCGTGATGGGACGATAGCAGCCTCCTCTAAGAATCATCAAATAATAATAATAATAATGATGCTCATAATGAAAGGGAAACATTACGAGGGAATTTAAGAAATCATAGATCAGGATATTTCACATTATGTTGAGTAGGTCGCACGTCTCCCTGCACTTGTCTGACACACATATAAACTGTCAAATTTACCTTCCAAAATGGTTCTTTGTCCCCGAGAAGCATGAAACTCACAATGTGTTTCTGAACAGGCCATTTAGGTGTAAATATACGGGCACAAACATTTACAGTCCACGTCACATCAAATCAAGCGACGTGATGTTCGCCGGTATTTACTTAGTGCCCCAGGAAAGTGCGTCTGGGTTCGACTCGGGGCGGGGCATCCCTCCACGCAGCGGCCAGGGTGGATGGGGGGACACATCGCGTTTCTCATAAGCCTCTCGCCACAGTTGTCATGACCTCCCCAGCATTCACATCTCAGGCCCCACAGTAAATAAACATTAAAGTAATACTTTTACCAATATTTGAGTATCTGAATGAATACTGAGTAGTCCTACTGAGTAATTTCCCTTTTTTGTTTTCCATTTGTTTTTCTTTTGGAAAAATCCAAGGCTCCTCATCCTTTTCATGGCTAAAATCCGGTTGTTAGTCGAATCTGCTCACATCGCACATGACTACCTGCCAGGACGCGAGCTTGTGTCACAAAAAAAAAGAAAAATGACGAGATGCAGCGAACCCAAAAAGGACAGGCGGAGAGCCTGCATGAAGCGACCCCCTCGGCGCTGGGACGTCAGTGTCACCCCCCGTCACAGCCCACCAGGCCGGCAAATACCACAAGACGACGATCAGAAATTAACGGCATTTAGAAGAAAGAGCCAGTATCCCTGCCTGGTTTGGCCACATGCCAGGGGAAACTGATGAAATTACCCAGAATGCAACGTTCCCCCAGGCCCACCCTGGAGTCCGTTCGCGTCGGCCGACTTCGCCACCGCGGTGACCTCGCCACAAATCATGCGGCGTTGCCCTTCCTGCCGTCCGCCCCGCGCACCTCCACGCTCGACGGTGCCAAACTCGCCGGGACGCCACGACCGAAACATGTCTGCGGCCTCAACGTTTTGCGCCCGTGCTCAGTGAGAGAATGCCAAAAACGAACGGAAAGTCAGACAAACGTTTATATTCGTAACTGCAAATATAATCGACACCTTTCGTAAAAGTGTGTTTTATTTCTGAAACGTAAAACGCTAATACCGTCCGTCTAAGATTCCCTAAATTGCCAGTAAAGTAGGGAGAGATTTAAAAATTGGGACTTTGCTATAGGTTTAATTCCGCGGTTTATCTGAATAGTGTCATATTGGGCGCAGAGGACTGCGTGTTTCCTGATCTTCATTCTGGCTCCGTCAGCGCCTGTGTGTGTGTGTGTGTGTGTGTGAGTTCAGCGGGGGTAGAATCTGATCCTCCTTGCTCGTTCCCCTCAGACAGCTTCTGCGGATGACCTTTAGCGAGCCTCCTGGCTGCCTGCCCCCAGCCCCGAGCGCAGCAGTGGCGGCAGGGTGGACGTGGAGGGCGCCGCGTGATTCATGGGCCCGCCCCGGCCCCCCCGAGGGTCCCAGCAGATCTGGCGTTGGGGGATTTACGCCATTCTGCTGACTTTGAGCTCGACTCTGGAGTGAGATTAACAGGTGAGTGGCGGCGCGAGTGGCTGGGGGGCTGTAAGCATCCCCCCTCCGACCCTAGACCTCCCCCCCACCCCTCTCGGATCATTTCACGCACTGCCCCCTCTTTTTCCCCCCCTTTCATCTCTGGTGTTCTCAGTATATCACAATAACGCAAACCTGCCAAACTCTGACCACCCCCGACACATCCTTGCTCTCCAATCGACTGGTTAAACGCAGCGGCGTGGAGTATAATTCGCCCCCCCCCCCAACATCCTTTAATTACGGACTGATTAAAAGGCCACCTTGGGACCCCGAGTCTCTGCTGTAAACAGTGAACCGCACCGCCACCCCCCAGCAGCAGAAAAGTAAAAAGCCTCCCTTTTCAAACCTCGACTTTCATATCCTGTCAACTCCGCCGTCCCCTCAGCACGTAAATTCGGATAAATCCCTTTAAGGGTGAGCGCTAATTGAGAACAGGGCGCCCGCTCGGGATGAGGGGAGTGCGACTGTTATTGTTCCCTCTGTGATGTCAGTGGGGATATACGACACCTCTCCCCCCATCCCCCTGTTCTCCTCGGCATAAGGGAGGACATCCAAACGCCCCCGGAATTGGTCACCTACAGCATGACACTGCAGACTGGCCACAAAAACCCTGTGGACTTCCTCAGCCTGTCAAGGACCATAAACACATACGTCAGGGAACACTGCACCCATCCCACATCCCTGGCACTTCCCGGTGCTCCCTCGTCCCAGGATAGTGGGGACAGTCCTCCGAGCACCACATGCACCTTCCCTAAAAAGTTTGCTCCCTCTGCGCCACACGGTCGCCTTTGGGAACCGGGTCCTGCTCATCACAGGACATTCCGGCAAGGTGCCGCTGATACAGAGTGATCGCCCCGTTCATGCGAGGGTGACAGAGTTTGCCAGCATGCTGCGCGACTCACCCGGCAGCCTCGGATGCCGCCGGAATGCACCGGCGCTGCCGGACGTACCCACGAGGCGTGCGGACTTGGCCGCTTCTCCCCCCTCACCAGCCGCCGCAGACATGCAAGAGCCCCCCATACCTCAGGAGCCCCAGAACCATCCACCCACTACTCTGACATGCACTGCACCTTTCAGAAGAGCCAGCAGATGAAGACAGTAAAGAAAGTACCTGCAGTGGCGCCCGCCTCCGTCCTCGATGCGACCGGCGCAGTCAGGCAGGATGGCAGCGTCCCGGCGATGCGAAAATGGCACCAGTATTCCCAGACTGCAGCAGTCTGACTGCCTAGCTGGCCTTCCTCCTCGCCTTTGCTGCCATGTTCACCGAGGGAGGGAGGGACGGAGGGAGGGAGGAAGGGGGGGGCGGGAGCGAGGGGGGGGGCAGGCTCAGGGGGATAACAGAGCGATTAGAAGGCAGCGGTATTGCATCCAGACAGAATGTATAATGGAATTAGCTGAGAGGGACTTCGCTTCTGACGGGGAAGTCTAGCAGCTATCCTGAGCGCGGCTGTTTGCGCGTGTGTCAGAGAGAGACAGAGCGAGTGTGTGTGATCGCTGATGCTCAGGGGGGTGGAGGGTGGGTTTGTGGTGGGGGGGGGGCTGCTGGAAAAGGAGGGGTCGAGCCTAGGGGACCACCTGCTCCAGTACTTTCAAAGCGCAGCGCGCACCAAATAAAGAGGTGGATGCTGAGATTTTCCAGAAGGTTGGTTCCCTCGCCGCGAGCAGAGACGGCACGCTCGCACTCGCTCGCCTGTTCGTGTGTGTTTAGGCACATGTCGTTTGTGTGTGCGTGTGTGCGTGCATGCGTGTTACAGGTTACACACAGGGCTGCTCCTGTTTGTGTGCATGCGTCACACTTACGGGGACGAGTCTGAGCTGTCGGACGGCGTGCATTTGCGGCCGTACGCGCGACAGACAGGGCGACGCGTGTTTGAGTTCGCTTTACAGGAGGTGTGCTTTTGAGAGAAAGGGGGATGAAAACAGGCGAGAGACAGGTGCGTACGCAGGACAGAGGAACAGGCAGTGCGGGTAGTGGCGTGTCTGTGCCATGAATGAAAATAAAAAGGGGAGAGATTTGTTGGGAGGGGGGCAGCATCTTTCTTACTGACAGTTCCACCTTGCAAGCCCCCCCCCCCCATTTTCATTTTATAGCTTAGCCCTGATCACAGAGCAGCACAGCGTGATACAGGGGCTACCGACATGATGTCCACCAGCCCCAGATCACATCATACCGTCTATGGTCAACCTCGTTGCCCTCCCCCCCCCCCCCCTCAAGTGAAAAGTGCCGGGCTTACAGTCCTGTTTATCACCAACCCCTCCCCTCAAACCCCCAAGAGCCCTGGGGTTGAAAGCTTCATGGTGGATAGTCGCTCGTCTTGAATAACGACAAGCTTCCACCCACAGCAAATCCATACTGCCCCCGCCCCCCAAAAAAACACCGTTTAGGATAGCAATATCACCAGAGGAAATTTAAAAAGCTGAAGAAAAAAAACAGCCCGCAAAGATGTCACAGCGCATAACAGCCGGAGACACGAAGCCGGCCGACAGTTTGTAGCAACAAACAAGACACATATACATACACAGGTATATGGACGCAAAGATAATAGGCGTTAAGGTTATTCCTTTGAGAATAATATTACCAGGTAAACCCTAAAGCAAGGCTAACACTGCTAAGAGTTTGGTTGATGCAGACAGGAGCGTAGCGGCCGGAATATCTGCTTGCTGTCATCTCGGAAGGTGCGACAGGCAAGACGACGGCGCGCGCGGGGCGGACTATCTGATGTGCGCATGCGCGTAGTGGCCTTCCTGCGCACCTCATTAGGGCTCCGCAGCTCCCGGGATCGCGGCAATCGGCGCCTTTTATCGGGCTACGCGTGGTGTCGGTGCCAACTTTAATAGGATTTACCGGCGCTGGGAGAAAAGTAGTAAGCTCCGGATAACTGCGCACAACGGCAGCGGCTAATTAGTCTGGCTACGTGCTCGGCTTCAGTCGCCCCCCCATTACTTCGTATGCTTATTAAACTGCAGTCGCTCACCCAATTAGGCGAACTGTCTTGCATGTCGCAAATTTGGTTTCGGTGCGATTTTTTAGAAAGCGTATTAAATTTACAGCATCCTGTTTACGGTGACATAAAGAATTATATGCGGGGATTTCAGCACACTCCAAAGTCATATTCCGACATCAAAATGCATGTACCGCGCTGCCTTTTGAAACTGACCGGCCTTATTATCGTGAAGCTGCTCGTGTCGGCTGGTGGGACGTTTCAAGAAAACAATTAAGTTGCACTTCTATGCAAACGGTAGAAAACCGGTTTGGAATTCAATGTAAACCTGCCTTTTCATTTGCCAAAGAATAATAATAATCTTCTTCCTATACAACATAACTTTATATCGTATTTTTCTTTAACCGGTGATACAGCATTGTATTATTTAGAACAGTACCCTAACTCATAAACCTACGCATCAGTTAGTCAAATGTAAAGTATCAGAATAAAGCATACGTCTATGCAGCCGTCATTCTGTTTACTGTTTTATCATGTCAAAGAGTCGTAGGAGTAGGTAGCTTGACAATATGGGGACCAAAGAAGCATATCTACTGAATCTTACATGTTAAATAGGACCCGAACAAGCGATGCACATACATGTGCAACTGAAGACATGGATCATGGAGCAGATCGCAGAGCGAACGGGTGGTGGGGGTGAGAGAGAGAGAGAACACCCGCTTAGTGATCCATGAAGAAGAAAAGGGTGTGTGTGCGGGGGGGGGGTCTGACTGTTACCATAGAGACAGGCGGACAGTGGTCTGATCTATGATTACCAGGCATGCTGGAGCTGACGTTAAACGCCATTGCACTGTAAATAGGAATCAGAGGCGCTGAATTTCATTGTGATATTACGGTGTCACGGAGTGTCGGGCGGGAACTTTGACCAGAAACACTAAACAGTGACAGCTCCGAGCGCCTGCGTACCGTTATTGCGCGTAAATAAACAGATAAAACCCGCTGTTTACGCTGTTTATTATTTCGGGTGCGTATCAGGTAAATTGAACACGTGTTTGGTCACGTGGCCTTATACTGAACGCAAAACGGAACGTGGTATATTTCCCCATGGTCTTTCTGCGAGTGACCCAGACAATAAAATAATGCTTAATTTTAAGCTTGAAACAGTCACCACGATGTGATGAAATCCGGATGAATACTGTACTCTGAATCACCAGCTTTTAAAATATTGTACTCAAAAAATATAACTTAGAAAAATAATTTACAGACCATTTGTAAATAAGTTATCCACTGTCAGACAGTAAAAAGTAAACAAATTGCTTATCCATCAATTATTCCTTAATTTAACAATGTTTTAATTAAACAAATTGCTAGTCTTAATTTGATGGCTTGATGTATTTTGTAATAAATTTAATTCATGGTCATTTTGTATCACAGTGATGTAAAAGTGGCGGCAAACAGGTTTATAGCATCGGTTCTTTGTTTTGGCAACATTTAGTGAAATTACGATTTGCAGAAATGTAAACACCTGAGATTAAATTAAAGTTTACACCTGTGCAGCCTTTCAGATAAGACGCAGTTAGAACGTGCTGTCAGTCGATTCCCCTAAGGACGCGAAATGTTTGGGCAATATTGCCTTTACATATTTAATTTGGTAAGTGGTCGCTCATTAAGTTGGTCCAGAAGAATATTTAATGGTGAACGACACATTATCCGCCGATACGAACCAGGCAGCTGGCATTCTAAAGCGCAGCTTGATTTGCCGGCCGGGTACCAGGCGCACAAATTCAACACCAGTGCCGTAAACATCCAACTTTCCAGAGCAAAATCGCTGTTTTTTGCCTCAGCGCACAAACCAGTAAGGCACAAGGGTGAAACTAGCAGTAATTATTTGGAAAAACAGCTGGGGAAAAGCTGGAAAGGTGACTGCAGATTTCACTGCGCACCTTTTCAGGGCACGGGAGATTTGGACGCCTTGTGGTTTTTTTTACGGTTTTTAGCGATGGCCACGGGAAAGTGCCATGAATCACTGTAATGAGAAGGACGACCTTCCAGTGCTCCTTCTGGGGAGGTGCGCTCGGGGGGGGTAGGGCGAGTTCAAACTGACAAGTGCACACGCGTGGTGATCAATGAAATGAAGGGAGCGAGGAAGGGGATCTGACTGTTACCATGGAGATGAGGACAGTGGCTGACTTTATTGTTAGTTTGTTACCAGGTATGATGAAAATCCGCAGCTATGAGATCGAGCAGCTCCGAACAACTTCAACTCAGATCAACGGGGATCGCAAAGGAAGACGTGTGAAGAAAGCCTTGGTTTAAAATGAAGCAGAATGTGCTGTTAATTACGGAATTTTGTTTGAAACATAAACCTGGTACACATACAAATGGCAATAATACGAACGGCAAAAAATCAATCACGAGAGTGAGGCGTGGCGTATTTTTCTGACTTATAATACTGTCTAAATCTATTACAAGGACAATAGTCCTAATTTTGGGGTCTCCTTAATGTGTGCGTATTCCTCCTCTCTGATGGACTGGCGTCCCATCGAAGGTGTGTACGCTTCCCCCTTGCGCCCAAAGCTGCCTGGATGGACTTCACTGTGCAGGATACGCGGGTGGAAGATGGATTGAACCTGATCGAGGTTTATCGTAAGACGAGCATCACTTAGTACAGGTTCGCCATCTAGTGGTAACAGGGACCGTTAACCTAGTTACGAAGTTACTTTTATGTCAGCTGTATTCCCAGCCAATTTGTTGACGCACATAATTCGTGCTGTGGTTGCATTGTAAATAGTGCAACTCGTGTACATAGTCCATAAAATGCAGTAGTAATCGCGCTTCCCAAATTTCTATTACATTTCCAACCGCTATTACCAGTCTGGCTCGTGACGAGGGGGATGATGGGTTGGGCCTGGAGTCTAGGAAACAAGGCGGGGGTACAGCCCGGTTTGGGTGGCACTCTATTTCACCATATTTTTTTCAGAAATGATACAGTAGGTGGCAGTATGCGGCGGAAAACTGTTTCCCACGGTCAGTTGACGTTTTAATGCAATGTCATACGTATTACCTCGTTGTTTAGCCTACGTTTTATGTATAACAGTTTTCCACTAACGTACTGCATGGCACTGACTTGTTGTGGAGCGTTTTATATGAATTATTACGCGTTATTTTGACTAGCTTTTAATTGATCTGAAGACAGCAAATGTCCTAAGGTATTTTTAAGCCTGTCTGTAAACAAACCATTCCCAACAGACCTACATCTAGTCTAAATATTTATATTTGTGGCGAACGGTACAATTGCATAAATATATTTAATCTAAAATACCCAGGTGCTTCAAATTGACTTACTGTCATTAGAGACTGATGCAATATTTTAATCCAAATACAAACCACCAGTTTTCAAAATGGGGCAATGTTCCAAACGGCAGTTTCTTTTTTATTTATGAAACACTTAGTTCTAAAATACACGTGGGAAGTTTTTCAAACAAGCCTCCAAGCCATATTTATATGGAAAGTGACGTCCACTCTTGGAGCACAAATCCGGTTCATTAATATTCAATTCACTTTAAAAGGATTTGGAGTACTTATATTTTGGACTCAGTGTGTCTCATGGCTAAGGGACAACATCCATTTTCTTTTTGAAACATTTCAGTTTCAGAAAAACATACACAATGAAATGAAGGGCAAAGTTTATTTCTTTTTAAAAGACACCAGTAAGCACAAATACAATTTATAAAATGAGCATCTTTACATAATGCTTGATATATGTGGTTGTGTACAGATGTTACAAATATAGATATATAAAGTTAAATAAAACAAATACAAAAGATTATAAAACGCAATTAATCTCTTAAGTTCATTGATAGGAAAGGCGTTTGGGAAACGTACAAGGCGGGATTTTTCACACTCATTATCCTTTTCTTTTTCAAAACAGGTAATATTCCGTATTGCTTTGTACGCTTCGCATGAACATTTAATATTGTTCATTTAAAAAATCATTAACTTGTAACTTCAGGAAAATTATGCTTAATATACTTCGGTAATAAGCTAATATAATACGCTTCTGGGGCAATGGCCCGATTTTTGCTTTAGTCTTGCTGGTAGTTGTACGGGACGCGTACGACTTGATTCATTCAGGCAGAGAATAACGTAGATCATACAGGGGGAATGTCGACAGCCTCGAATTAATTAGCAGGAGTTTGTAAGTAATCACACACACACGGCGTGTGCGCCATAATTCTTGTTTTGGAGACGAGTGTGATACATCACATAAGCACCGTGTTTCATAAAATGCAAATGCTGCGATCAGTCGCTAAGACTCTGCGCTGTTGCTGATGTTCTGGTGATGTACTGGGATTGACTGGTGATGAATCTAAATTTGTACTTAATGCTGCGCGGCAGCAGTTTATGGTGAACGAGTGAATACAAGTTCTCACAACTACATTTAAAGTGCCCCCCCTTCCTCCCCATGAGAACAGATTTTTTTTTTAAGAAAGTTATATTATGTAGAAAAGCCACAACATTAACTAGTATCATTTCATTTAAAAAAATCTACCTGAATATCATGTATGCTATATGAACAAATGCAGAGTGTTATAAAAAAAGTTGTTAGTGGTTTGTTATGTTTCTTGCGTCCGTTTAAGAACACAGGCTAAGCAGCGGATCCCGTCATTGCTGAAGGCAGAGCCATGTGCAGTCACATGGCTCCAGAAACTTGAAAACATCCACTGCATTTTTCCCTGAAATACAGTGCGGAAGGGAAACCAGTAGATTTTAAAGGCGGCTAAATGGGTGTCACTTGAACACTTTTTTTGGGGGTGAAAAATTCTGGTCGCCAATGATTGCTGCTCTACTATTGGTTGCTGGCGAACACTGGCCACTATATGCTGCTGTGCTATTGGTTAATTTTGGCCACTATATACTAATGATGGCCAGAGGAAGCTTCATGAACCAGCTGCTGTATTTTCTAACACCACTAGATGGTGCTCTCTATTCAAAAAAAGAATCAATTCGTGCCTCATATCAAACCAAGTGCTCTATCTAGTGGGGTCAAAAATACAGAAAATGGTCCATGAAGCTTCATTTGGCCAATGCTACTATATTCTGCTACGTTATTGGTTGCTGGTGAACACTGGCCATCCCATGATGCCGGTTGCTGGTATGCTCTCATGTTATTGGTGGGCGGCCAAAATAAACACAAGCCACAGCAGCATATCAAGCGTGACCCCAGCTCCGCTACCCACATCATAAGCCACTCCAGATTTTACTCTGTCATCAGCTTCAGTTTGCCACATTCCACTAACAAACTGTAGCCCCACTCTGAAACCTTCCTTTATACCTAACACAGGCCAACCCAGCCTCTCAAATTATAGCCCTCCCCTGAATCATCCCACATCTCCGAGTTCTCCTTTTCCACCAGATGCTCCAGACAAAATTTAAGCAGATCATCAATATTCCCTCCACAGTTCCCACGATATATATCCAAAACAGTTACACAACAGTGCTTTAAAGAGTGTTAGGTCACGCCACATATTGTCATGCCTTTCAGCTTAATCACAACTTTGCGGCCTTCATCAGTCTCAGCAATTGCACGGGATCACAAAGATAGCCTGCTTCCTGAGATCACAGAGGGTGCCTGGGTGTGTTCGCGGTGTCAAGACGCGACAGGGGGAAGCCATGAGCATTACCCAGCATGCACTGGGCTGAATACTGTGACCTAATGCCATGTTCTTTAAGTCCAGTTCTCTATGGGAAAATGGGACAGTTACAATACAAAAAAGATGTTACATGTTTAGAAGATGCCCCAGGAACTTAAAAGATTAACCCGTTACAAAGTGCCCTGTCAGAGTGAGACGCTATCTGTGTACAAGGCGACTTAGGTTAATTACAGTGCTAATTATGTTGGTAACAGTCCTCATCGTCTCAGAGTGATGCCTGGGACCTCTCTCAGAGAGACAGAGGTCCTCAGAAAGGCTGAGAGAGAGAAAGCGTTCTTGGTGCACCAGGATCAGTTCTGCAGGCAGCGCATATAAGAGGCACCTACTGGGGTTACCAAGGATCCTTTCTGTTTGGTGATTGGCAAGGCAACAGCCCCTATAAAGCAAGTGTGATGCTTTAAGAATCTCAGAAGCACGTGGATAGCTGGCCAGTCATGCTTTCAGACACTATTTAAGGAAGGGGACATGTATCGATGGTGAAAACTAAAACTATAATTCAGCTGGGGAAATGTGATCGGAATAAGACTTCCGAAGCATGGCCAGGAAACAATCAGGGCCTCACGGTTTGGCAAACAGCTCGCATCATTTCCTGTGGACACACAGAGGCCTGGTCCTCCGAAGACAAAGGCCCCGGGTGAACTTGGTTCTGCTGGAGAGGGCTGTGTGTGAGAGTGCCATCGCAGGCTGACAGACACTGCGAATCTGCGTTAACGTCATGTGATCACTCGTGCTGCATTACGGGTGACAGCGTTCTAATGTGGCTACATGAAACACGTCCTAATACCTAAGAAACTTTGGGGTTCATCAACACCTGTCGCACTGTCTCCCCGTGCAGTGTGCGTCATCCCACCTAACCGTGCTGTGACACTGTGTTGGGGTGCATACACACTCACAGACACATGCATACATCAGCACGCGTGCATAAAATCTCCATGTGCATGCACTTGTGCACGGATCAGTATGTGCGAGATACATGAGTACAGTATGCTTACATATGCACACTTACACACACAAGCCCACACGCACGCACACACACAGGTGGAAACTACAGTTGTGTGTTTATGGCTGAAGGCCTTCAGGAAGGCTGGCCGCTCTCTGCATTACAGTTACTTTGTTTCTGGAGAAGATCCAAAATGAGACGCCTTCGGTGAAACCTGGAACAAACACAAGATAGCAACACAAAGAAATTCTGCATTAGTTTCACTCACAGGAGGGAAGGAGCTATGGACAGTTACACTCACTTGGGAAGAACAATGGACATTTACACTCACAGGGGAGGCCAAACTATTGACAGTTGCACTCACAGTTGAGATAGAGCTATAGATAGTTACACTAACCGGAACAGCTATGGACAGTTACACTCACAGAAAGGGAGGAGCTATGGACAGTTACACTAATAGGGGAGGCGGAGCTATGGACAGTTACACTCACAGAGGAGACCGAGCTATGGACAGTTACACTAATAGGGGGGGCGGAGCTATGGACAGTTACACTCACAGAGGAGGCCAAGCTATGGACAGTTACACTAATAGGGGAGGTGGAGCTATGGACAGTTACACTCACAGAGGAGGCCAAGCTATGGACAGTTACACTAATAGGGGAGGTGGAGCTATGGACAGTTACACTCACAGAGGAGGCCAAGCTATG